GAAATATATTTATGTTTGTGGTTGTAATGTGACAAAATATGGAAAAGTTCAAGGGGTATGAATACTTTTGCAAACCACTGTATTTTATTATGCGCACAAACTGCCAATAATGAACGAACGCACACAGCGTGACGCAAATGCCCTGAGACAATCATTATGATTTGGGATGGCTCCAGGTTGGCACCTCTGAAATTGGTACTGAAAAGTCCTTGAAAGGTCCTTGAATTTGATGTTGACCAAGGTGTGGGAGCTCTGGTTGTAGCAGTGGACTGAAAGCCTTTAACACAAAACAGTTTTGTGCATTAATGCTGTTCAACATTTCCATTCAGGGACTATTCTCCCAGAACTGAATACGAGCAAAAGTGGAGAGGGGCTCGTAGTCCAGAAAGGAGTCGGGCTAAGAGCCGGGGACGAAGCAGGAGTCCGAGTCCTGACCGGAGTCGAGCCAAGAGCAGGGGACGGAGCAAGAGCCGACCCCGAGGCCAGAGCCGGAGCCCAGATCGCAGTCGGGCTAAGAGTCGGGGGCGGAGCAAGAGCCGTCATCGCAGTAGATCTAAATCCAAGTCCAGATCTAGATCCCGGGGGAGGAGCAGAGGAAGGAGTCGTGGGCGGGGCCAGCATCGCAGTAAGAGCCGCAGCTGCAGTTCTAGCAGCAGCTCGCACCCCAACTCGCCCTTCAGTGGTAAATTCTTTAAAGAACTGGAGGTTGCCCGACGTAGGAAGGAGCTGGAGGAACTTCTGACCCAACCTACCAAATCCATTCTGAAGAAACGCAACAGTTATGATGACTCACCATCCGTAAAGGTAAGACTGCATCTTTATTTCCTTTGAAGAATACTGGCCCTGAGCTGAATCTATAAGACCAGGGGTTGATACCGGACCCCTGATCATGGTACTAGACATGATCTTGTTACTGGACCAAAGTCATGTACCAGCTGAACCTGAGTCATCAGTTCTTCCGAATCAATGAAGTCTTGATATGTAATTGCCATCGTTTGTGATTTGTAAACTATTTTTTTGCAGAGCTCTGACTCACCTCGGGATGCGCACAGCTCCACCATGTCTCACATGGCTGACCAGCTCCTGCAGGCTGTTAGGAGCACCGACCCACATGCTGTGGCCTCCATGCTGTCAGAACTCCAGTCCGACGTGCACATGGCTCAGCGTCCCGGCCTCAGTGCAGAGATCAAAGAAATCCTGGCCTTGCTTGGGGGGGTGCCACCTGCGGGTGGGTCTCAGCAGAAAGCTCAAGAAGAGATTGATGATGAGGAGAAGTTTTTGTACGGTGATTTAGAAGAAGCTAACCCTCAACCAGAGCCTGTTCGACACCACAGCCTGGACTTGTATGGGGATGTAACAGAGGATTCGTTGTATTCAGAGCCCCCAGCACAGAGAGCTGCCATTCCTCAGATCTATGACTGTCCCCCACCTGTTAAACCATATATTCAGGTCACACCTACTGTGAGTGAGGTGGACAGGTTCATGAGCCGACCCACAACCAGCTCCAACCAGAACATTACAGTCCAGACATCAAAACCCATTCTTCCATCAGGAACAGAGCCATTGTCGGAGAATGAACTCCAGGCAAAGGAGGAGTATGACAAAATCCAGGACCTTCTAAAGACCATCGGTCTGGACCTGGGAGTGACTGAAATTAGCAAGATGGCCGCCAGGACCAAAGAGCGCCTCCAGGGAACCAAGCAGCCTCCAAAGACTCCAACACGCCGGCACCGATACTCCTCTGGCAGCTCAGACAGCAGTGGGCATTCTTGGGGTCGCAAGAGGAAAAGCCACAGCAGCAGTTCAAGCAGCAGCAGGAGTCGCAGCCGTGAGCAGGGTGGCAAGATGGGGGACAGATGGAGCAGTGACAATGATGAGCACAACAAGAATATAGCCCCACCCAAAACCCCCAAAGAACCTGACGCAAAGAAAGCAACAAGCAACTGGGATGATGTGCCACCGCTGCAGCCTCAGACCACCGACCCTGCAGCCATCACACCTCACACTGGGATGCCAATCCCCACCTACCCCCCCACACAGGTCCACAGCATGATGCCCCCTACCTACCCCCCTCCGGGGTACAGCCAGTACGGCAACTACATGCCCTACATGCATCAGCAGTGGCCTCCCATGTACCTACCCCCTAGCATGGCCCCACCTCCTCAGAGCACTGTCAGTGACTTTCCTCCAACTCAACCTTACAGTCAAGCCTGTGAAAAGCCAGCCCCTGAAGCTGGGGTCAAAGGTGAGTTTATAATAAGACAAACGACAGAGGAAGAACAAAAACTGCAAAAATGGCAAGGCTAAATATGCAGTGAACCCAGCAAAACTACACAACTGATACAGCAAAACCAGAAACATGGCATGTTAATGTTAACCAAGACATGACATCAAACATGACCCAGCAGCAATGTACACAACTTGGCAAAATGCAAAAAGGACATGGTAACAACAATGCCACTGAGTAAAACATGTACTCCTGACACATCTAACATGACATGGCAAAAATATAAACCCAACATTGCAAAAACAGTCCAGAAAGCAGACATTTCATACAGCAAAACCACAAACATGACTATAATAATTTCACAACTGTGACACCAAATACAACAGAACAATGTCACAAACATGCCATGGAAAAAACACAAACATGACACATTAAAATCTTTAATTGACTTAAAAAACAAAACAGGAAGAACTACAGATATGACAATAAAACAGCAAACATGACATGGCATTATCAAAAGTAACAGTAAAAATGACCTGACACAGGAAAACCAGATACATTGTAATATCACAGTTATGACGAGGCAAAAACTGCAAACATTACACAGCTAAATCACAAACATAACAGTGTAAAAACAAACCTGACATGTCAAAAACGCAAATGTCAGGGCACTTCCAAAAACATGATACGACAAAATTAGCTGTTTTTTATTATTTTTTAAATGAAAAACTGTAAATAAAACTTGGCAAAAATGGGTTCATGAGACAGCAAAACCAGAAATATAACATTGATGTATCACAACTGTAGTACAGCAAATGTGATGTGGGAATGTCACAAATATCACATTATAAATACACATATTACAAAATGTCTAATCACAACATAAAAAACATAACTAAAGGTTGATGTGAGTTATCCAAGGCTGATGCTGGTACCAGTTTCTGGAAATCATTACCGATAATGGCCCTAATATAGATTTTTCTTTTCTTTTTGTTAACCTGTATTTGTAATTTTCAAAACATACCAATAATCGTTTATCATGAAAGAAGCTGCTACTGGGGGAAAACGTGGCACATCCACCCATTCTGAGCCTGAAAATATTTTACAAATTTGTGCACAAATTTATTAAAGGGCCAATATTCAGTGTTTCTCAGGCATATATTTAAATACTATACCAAAATAAAGTATCTATGTCACCTTTATGTTATTAAAATGCTGTTTTTATGTTTAAATAGAAAATAAACTTATCTTCTCATCACTTCCTCTTCTAAACACCTTGAAATTGGCCTCTGTCTCTTTAAGAACCACCTTCTGCTTCTGTCCCGTCCCATTACCAGTCGGTCAGGGGGGTGGGGGCTATGATGCAGTTTACTTGTCATCTGAAAATACATTTCCTCAAAGGTGTTTTTAATCTGAAAACAGCTTCACTGAGTGAGAAGTGGTGGATCTCAGCAGACAGCTTAAGTTTCACTTTCACTTTGTTTTTTTACTGTCGAGAGCCTGCAGGAGTCATGGGGGTGGGTAGTGGGGAGGTGTGCTCTGTGATGAGGAAGTTCAGCTTAAAGACACGTCCCAGAGGTGTTTCTGGTACCAAAAGGTGTTTCTGGTACCAAAAGGTGTTTCTGGTCCCAAAAGGTGTTTCTGGTCCCAGAGGTGTTTCTGGTACCAAAAGGTGTTTCTGGTACCAAAAGGTGTTTCTGGTACCAAAAGGTGTTTCTGGTCCCCACCTGTCGTTTTGCTCCTCAGCATGGCTTCATAAAAACACTGCAGGATTTCTCAAACATGATGAATGAGTCAGAGCAAGGCTTTGATGTTTTTATGAGAGTATAACATTATAACATGATATAAAACTCTAAAAAGTAGATTTTTACATGATATTGGCCCTTTAACAAAATGACTGTAAACTGAGAGGAACTCAGGTGTTTGGTAGAACATAGATCTATATTTAATAGTTTAACAGTCAGTGGAGAATTTTCATGATGTTGATGATTTAAATTTTAAAATCTTTCGGATGAGGCTGTTCCATTCAACATGGCTCAGCTCATGGTGGACTGGCAAAGTCCCAGTCGGTCTGCCAGCTTCCTCTGGAATGCCACTGAGCAACACAGCAGCTGGTTCTAGTCAGCGTAACAACACAATTCAAAAACTGATTTAAAGTTTGAAGTCTCTACTCTTGACTCGAGAGTCTCAATCTGCTATACATGGAGATTAGCAATCTCAAAGTGGCCATTCAGAATAAAAATGTGTAAACACCCCACTCGGATTATTCTGAAATGATTCAGCTCGATCAGAATGAATTTGTAATCTGAATGAGAGAGGTGGTAATCTGAACGACATGCATGTAAACACTTAATTTGATCATTTTATTCTGATTGTGGAAACTGACCTGTCTGCGCCGTCTTCTGACGTTGGTCCACCAGTTTCTGCTCTTTTGTGGAGGGAGGGACAGCAGTGCTGTAGTTTCTAGCAGAACAGAACCTTTCCTCCTGTTCTCTCATTCAATAAATACGGAAGATAAACAGCATGCATTGCTTTGACAAAAATATAAAATAAAATCTGCACATCACCTGTATCTCAACCAGGGAGTGCAGTAAAGTCTCTGCTGTTATTAAAACCTGTCGCAGGTCCATTCTGGAAGCTCAGAAGACGTTTGTTTATGTTCATCACAGAAGAATCGATTTTCATTGATCCGTTGTTGCAGCCCTACTAATACGGCTTAAAGGGGACCTATTATACAAAATTCACCTTTTAAAGGTTTTTTTACTCAACTTTCGGTATGTACTTCTTTAAAAAACAGTCCTAGGACCAAAAAATGCACCCAGGGGCATATTTACTGTAAGTAAATGTATTTTTAATGTATATTAATGACAAGTTTTATACTTCCGTCATTTTGTGATGTCACAAGCCGTACGACAACCCACCAGAACCTGTGTTCAGCCCCTTACCTAACAACCCCCGGGTGAGACTCCTCCTCAGTATAAAAAGTTGTCACGGTGTTGTTGTGTAATGTGCAGCTCATTTCACAACAAGCCTCCAACAGGGCAGTGGGTAGAGTGTTGGACCAGAGAGTGGCATGGACACAATTATTTATTTTCGTTCATTATGAACACATTTTCTCATGTAGCTCTATTGTTTATCTTATTAAAGCCTTGTTAAAGCCTATTTGTTTGAGTTTCTGAGGTATTTTGACCACTGCTGCTCCCTGCTCTGGTAACAGCATGCAGAGTGAGCACAGAGCAGAGGAGAGGTTGTACAACGGAGCTTCTGCTATTATTAGCCATGCTAACGTAAACGCTGGCTTTGGAGGGCGGAGTTAATGTCAACAGATTTTTGGAGGGTGGAGTTAATGTCAACAGATTTTTGGAGGGCGGAGTTAATGTCAACAGATTTTTGGAGGGCGTTACCAACAGAGCTCATTAACATAAACAGCTCTTCTGAACAGAAGTCAGAGCAGGCAGAACTAGAAAATGGGAAATTTTATTATCTGAGAATTATTTTGTGCATTAAATTGAATGAACATGGTCTGGATAGCCCACAGACATACCATAAACATTTCTACGACCCATAACTGGTCTTCTTTAATCCATTCCTGTTATAGGTATTTTTGGCATCCCTTTGCACGTTCCTTTGTCTATCTGCGTACATGGGGGTGTATAGTTTATCATGTGTGTCTGGTCTGAACAATAATAGTTTACACATCATTAAGTTTCCCAAAATCACTTCTAAGTGTCACCAGTGGAACCAGAACCACAGAAACGTGCGTATGCCAGCCATGAAGTTGGCGTGGCACTGCGCACGTTTTCATGCTCGTTTCACTCTTGAACCAACCTCTGGATACATCAGAGGTTTTGCGTGGAAAAAGGCGAATGCAAGCTTTTTGTGCTTACGCACCGTTGATACATGAGGTCCCTGGATGCCCTCAGAAGACAACAGTGGTGGATGATGGCAGAATAATTTCCATGGTGAAGACACACTTCTTCACAACAGCCAACCAAGTGAACAACTCTCTCCAGGAGGAAGGCTTATCAATATCCAAATCTACCACAAAGAGAAGACAAAGTAAATACAGAGGGTTCACTGCAAGCACTCAGAAGTCTCAAGAACAAAAAGGCTCAATTGGACTTTGCTAAAAAAAACGGTAAAAAAGCAGCAGAGTTCTGGAAGAACATTCTTTGAACAGATGAAACCAAGATCAACCTCTGCCAGAATGATGGACAGAGAAAAGTCTGAAGGTGTGGAACAGCTCCTGATCCAAAGAAACCACATCATGTGTACAACACAATGTGTCTGGGCATGTCTGCCCGTGGCACTGCGTCACTAGTGTTTATCGATTATGTGACACATGAGAGAAGCAGCCGGATGAATTCTGAGGTATTCAGAGTAGGGATGCACCGATCCACAGTATTTCACTTCAAATCAAAAACTGATACCATTCTGACACTTGCTGACATAGCATATTGTGTAGGTGGCTATTTTTAGTCAACTTGAGCAGCGCTATTGTGTAAATGCGACATGACAATAAAAGCACATTTTCACATTAGTATAAAACAACACATCTATCTTTGAGTTTGAGTGATTGGTCGCTCTCACCTGTCAAAGATTCCTGGCCATTTTTTGCATCTACAAACAGGAAGTTATACAAGTCAAATTGAACTAAGAGCAAATCAGCCTTTAAGTGTTGATTGTTGTTGATTATCTGTGTTTTCAGGTATGGCTACAAGTGTTTCTCAAGACAAAGAGCAACAACAGAGCAAGGAAAGAAGAGTTTCTGAAGAGGAGAACAACGAGAGCGAGAAACAAAAGGTTTCACCTGCTCCACACTTTACATTCTGTTTCTATCTTCTTGCTGTCGTGCATGTCTACCATAGACAGTTAAAGTGTAACCATCCCCTCTCCCCCCGTGACAGTACAACCCCACAGTGAGCAGTGCCAAGAGACACTGAGGGGCACGGCAAGCATGGGGTTGAGGGAACGTGACAGCTAGCTTAATTTGAAAAGCTAGCATTTCTAAAAACAGGTGTAGGGTGGTCTAGATGCATAAAATGTGCTGAAAATAGCCTTTATTAAAGTTTCACAAATCACAAACTTGGTTTTAACATTTCTGCTGTAAGTGTAGAACAATCCAATACAGGTTTGATATGTCTTGAGTATTTTAGTTTTTAATCTAGAGCAGATTAAAGATGCTCAAGGTAATGAAAAATAAATTGGAATCGCCCTTTAGCCATTTCCTGAATCAGCAGCTTCAGCTTCTTGGTGCTCAGTATTAGACTGATGGTGAGCAACAGCTTCACTCACAGGATTATTCAACAACAAACAGATTTATTACTGAGGTGAAGAAGATTTAGTAACTGATTACCTAAATGTTAGATCCAGTCTTATATTTTATGCTTTCTGATCCCAGCGGCCGTAAGGTTTAAAACAGAATGAGTGTGTGTTCTTGCTGTAGCATAAACAAAACTTATGTTCTGACGTGTAAGTTAACACCTCCACCTCCTTGTCAGATCAAGCCAATAGTTCAAGGCGCTGACTCAATGCAATGCATGAAACTGGTGCTGCAATGGAAGACTGAATGTGTCCAGTTTCTGAGTGTTAAAGTGATGTTAGCAGCATCGTTGCTAACACAGGCTAATGTTTAAAGCAGTAACAAATTTTCATCGCAATACTCGCTACAGGGCAGCTGTGACGTAGACATGAACCAAGCTGTACCGTTTTAACCAATAGTGTTGGTCAGGGATGACATTACGAGAATTTCCAGGAATCCCCAAAGTCCTGGATGTCGGACAAATTTTGCAGCGGACGGCGTACATCTTGCCTGAACCCACAGCTTTATTTCATGTAAACGTAAATGAAGATGACGTTCCAGGTGCCAAAATTGAGTATGATTGTTTATAGGGATGCAGCAACTCAACTAAAGCATTGGCTACAATGTAGAGGACTGCTAAGTCCAGCAGCCGCATGAATTTATAAAAAGGTAAGTGTTTTGTTCCTGCATTGTTATCTGGCATTAGCTGTTAGCAAGCTATGTTGTGTGCCCAAGAAAAATGCATGAATTAGTATTAATATTTAAAAAAAATACATGACCAGGAAGCAGATGTAAGTGCTAAAACAGACAGTTTGAAAACAAAGAAAAAAAGTGTTTGGTTCTGACACGAAAGAATAAGGCAGGAAAAAGACAGAATGGATGGACGAACCTGTTCTGGGACAGCAGTTGCTGGTTTGGTGTCAGGGTGCTTTATCGGTCTGTTTCCTCCAACAAAGTGTTTAGAACAGATGTAGGAACTTCACACATTTTTCCTTTCGAAGGCAACACGGCCACAGAGTCGAGTCCAACGATCTCATTTCTCTCCCTAAGTAATCGGCTTTGAAAACGGCAACAACCAAATGCCTTGCATATGAGGCTTGTCAGCATACGGGGTGTCACCACTGCAAGTCCCGTCTCAACAATGCTTTACTGATGCCATATTTAGCTCTTTGTTTGTGGTGCAAACCATGACTTCTGCACTGGACTCAACTGTAGCTGCAGTTCAGTTTGACTGACATCCTGGGACTTGCTGATGTCACATGTTGAGCAGGGAGCTATTTTAGTAACTCTGACCAACGCTATAGGAAAATTCAGCTGCTGTAGCACCGTTCAACCCATAGAGGGCAGTACTAAAATGATTTGAGAAAAAATAGGGTAGAATTTAACAAATTTACTCAAATGTCAAAATTGGCACAGGAATATAAAGATAATACTCTTAAAGCACAATTTAGATAGTTTATCTGCACCCAAAAAAAACAGTTGTTTTGGGGTTTAGTTACTCCTTTTTCCATGTTGCAAATATGTCTATATTCTTTTTGGGTCATATTTTTTAACCAGTTCAGATTTCTATGATGTTTTCTGAACCATTATGTCACAGTATTTACATGTGAACTGCAGTTTTGTCATCTTAATTCTCCTCTTGCTCGGGGTCAGACTCTGACTCCAGCACATATAGCTAGATGGACAAGTCTTCTCTTGTTCCCCTTTGTTTTTGAATTGGTGTTTGTGCACTGTTGATATGGAGCTTTACACCACCTACTTCCCCACCCGATCATGGTGTCCAATTCAAAAATACTTTATTGATCCCAAAGGTAATTATAATTGTTATAATTTTATTGTAAACTACCCTGTTGCTGTGGTTATGCATCATAACAAAGAGCAAAATTTTAAAGAATTGGCAAAAATCAATCCAGCTGTACTGTATTCAAAAACAAAAAACAGCCACCGAAAAAACATAAATTAGCTTTCTTTTAGGCATAATGTAACTGATTACAACTAAATGTATTTGAAAAATGGACATTTAAACCAGAGAAAAATGAGAACTATGCCTTTTAAAAAGAAACGGCACCTAAAATTATCTGGGGTGTTGTTTTTGCTGTTTTTATTTGAAATAAGCATTTTTTCTGTCTTTGGCTGAAACGTTTGATGACCAAACCTAGTTTTGTGGTGTTGGTTCTGCTGGGTTAAATGAGCGTGTCTGTGTGTTCTGTTCAGGTTCTGGAGGAGCGGGAGAGTATGAAGAAGGAGCGGGAGGTCAGGATGAAGAAGAAAGAGTATCTGATGAAAGAGCTGGAGCGACTCAGGAAGCAACAGGGTAAGTTTCATCAGGTCTCTCTCAGGACTTTGACCTCGTATCATTTTGTTCTGTTTCATGAAGATCATGTCACTGTGTTGACATATCTACATCCACATCACTTCTGCCTGGCCTTCAGAGGAACAGAACATGCTTTTGCCCCTTTTTGCTTCTTCAAGCTCTTTTTTCACCTTCCATTCGAAACTAAAGGGATTATGGGTTTGGCCAACTGGTCTCTGAATGCAAGAGACACTATTTTTCCCACACTTGGAACGAGGGGAACGTGGCTGTCTGGGTGGAACGGTTGCTGCTGGACTTGTCTGACTCCTGGGGCTGGAATCTGATGTGCCAGCACCACTTTCCATCGAAGACATGGAAAATCTATATATAATATAATTGGATTATGATAACTGGATTCCTGCTGATCGGCGGAGGAGGGTTCCAGATTTATCGAAAAGTGAAAGCGGCCCGGACAGTGGATCTGGTCTTTGAGGAGCTGTTGGGCGCACTTGAAGGATTCTGCTGGGCTGGTAGCACACAGACTCTCAGCTGGGGGACAAATTTGCAAACTGGATGTGGTTCTGACGAGGATCACATCTCAGGAGCGACACTTCGACATGTTTGGATTCATCTGGGTGAGCTTGAGACGGTGATAGGCGAGGAAGACCCCAAATTCGGCTTTGTTTTTGTTTTGTTTTTGTTTTTTTCGCCACTTCAGAGTTGCAGTTAAGGCACTTCAAAAGCAGCAGAAATTTCAAGGCTGCTTTGTTTCCAAAACAATTGGTTTATCCATCTGGCTCCCAGCAGCATAGCTTTGATGGCAGTGTTTATCCCAAGCTGACTTGTTCTCTCGCGGGTTGTTTAACTCAACTTTACTTTTGTGTATTTCAAGCTGTTGTTGAAGGTAGCACAACTGTGTTTGCTGCATGATTGGTTTCATCTGTTCCCCCATGTTTGTCATGTATGTCTTCTTGAATGTGTTTAACTGCCCCCTCCCCCTTCCCTGATTGTACAGCACCTTGTGAATATATTTCTGTGAAAGGCACTATATAAATAAAACTTTACTTACTAACTACATGTTTCCAGGTGAGCTGATGAGGAAGAAGCGCCGGGAGAAAGATGGCCACAAAGACCCCCTGCTCCAAGAGATTGGCCGTCTGCAGGAGGAGGTCATGACTCAGATCTCAAGCCTTCGCAAGGAGCACGAGGCTGCTGAGAAAAAACGCAGCGAAATTGAGAAGGTGGCGCTCATACTCGGTCTTAAGTCATCAGATATGCCCAGCCGAACCAGCAAGCAACCCAAAGTTCAGGAGGTTGAGCCACATCAAGCAAAGAAGAAAGAAGACTTGGAGAGAAACCCAGAGGGGCAGGAACCGTCCAGCAGCTCAGCAGTAAAGGTACAACTCCTGTTGAGGAGATAACAGAGGGTTACTGTCAGAAGCATAGCTAGGGTCCGTTTATGGTTTTGATTCCTGCACAGAACCGCTATCATTAAGTCTGCTAAAGTGGTTCAGGTCCCTGCACAAAATAAGTACCATCGGGAGGTTATAGTTCCTGCACAGAACCTTGGTCATTAGAACTGGAGAACCTGACCAGTCACGTGATAACAGCTTAGAGTTAACTAGGCTTGGGCGGTATGAAGGTATTTTGTTATACCACGATATCAAAATATGGTCACAGTGAATAAAAATTACAACCGTGTGAGTCACGTTAGGTGAAGTGACAAATTTCTACAAGGCTGCTATTAAAACTGGGAACACCCTATGACATTACTGACACGTGTTCTCACCACCATAATTCATTTAGAAAAGAAATCGGGAGTGGAGACACTAAGCATGGTAAAAAAAATAACTAGAGAATTACATTTCCTGCGAAAACGCTTGTGTGGATGCCTTTTGATGAAAACTAGCTGAACATGTTTAATAGCAAAAGTATTATTGTAAGTTAAACTTGGAAATCTGAAAGAAGCAAAAAAGGCAGAAAATCAGTAATAAGGAGCAAAGATATAGCTGAATTAGCATAAAAAGCTAAATGCTAAAGTAGCTGAATAAAGCAGAAAACAACTGTAAGAAGCATAAATAACTCAAAATAGCAAAAAGAAGCAAAAAAGTAAAAGTTAGCAAAAGAATAACAGAAAAGGACAGACATATAGCTAAAATACTTGAAAAAAGCTAAAATTTGCAACAACAAAAAAGGTAGCTAAAATTGTCACAAGGAATTTAATAAGAGCAAAACCATAAGATATTGTGTAAGGTTCTGTAAAGATTTAGAAACATTATGAAGAAATTTAAGGATGTTGAGAAAAACTCCATTTCCAATTAGAAAAAGTAGCCGAAATAGCTTTGGCTACAATTATGGAACATTTTTGAGGCTTCAAATGTGAAAGAGGTTACTCTCAGCTACCAGTACATAAGTTTTCATGTCAATATCTCAAACAGTGGCTGAGGAAAAGGCCTTTAAAACTAGCTTTGGTGGCCATCTTGGTTTTTTTTTGGCTGCTATTTTTGATAGAGCTAAGTCTTAGCTGTGATATATTAATTTTTAGCTCAATATATCAAAAATTGGCCAAATTCAATTAATTTGAACTAACTTTAGCTAATATCAGCTTAATATTGGCTAAAATTACAGCAAATAGCTGAATATTGCAGAAAGAAACTGTAGGAAACATAAATGGCACAAAGTAGAAGAATTACAAAAAATAGTGAATAGTAGAGAAAAAGCAGAAACAAGCAGAATTATGGCTAATGTAGCTGCAAAAAGTTAAAATTAGCATAAGAATAAGCTGAAGGTAGCACCCTCAAGTTGAAAGTAGCACCCAGATGATGAAATGGTAGTAAAAAAAATCAAAACTTTCAGAAAAAAAAACAGAAAAATTACTTGAAAAATGATCATTTGTATTAAAATATCTAAAACAGACGAAGCTTTCAGTAAAATAGCTACAACCTAGCTGGAAGTTCTTTAATTAGTATAAGGAAGCATAAGAAACACAGGTTTGCTGAATTTAGCAGAAAAAAGTTGCAATAGCTACAAAAATAACGTGTTTAGCTTAAAAAAGCTAACTTTTGCTAATACCAGCTAAACATGCAGCAAATAGCTGATATAGCAGTTCGACGCGATGAGGCGCAAATCGCTGAAGTTAGAAAATCTGAACTTTTGCAGCTC